TCAAACTTCAATAATTTTTTTTTTTGGGTAAAATTTAGTACATTTATAAACATAAATACTTAATTACTACTAACACAAATTTAATTAATATTTTTATAAGTTTAATTAATTTATTTGTTTTCAAAAATTCTGCTACTTTCTGTAAGGTTCAGCAATTACCATTTGAATTTAAAGTTATTCCGCTAGATTATGCAAAAAATCACGAAAAATTCTACAAAATTTTGCAATTCTGCAAAATTCCTATGCTAACATTTACACCCAATAAATTGATTTTAGAAAAATATAAAATATAAAATATTATTCAGATTTTATGAGAGTATTTTAGTAGATTAATATTATAGAAAGTGTATTTTTCAAAACCAAAAAAGAGAGTGTATTTTGCAAATCTAAAAACCCAATAGAAGTATTTTTCCAAATTTCCTCAAATAAAAACTGGTTTGTATGTAAAGTTACAGAAAGAAAGAAAAATTTAGATAGATATATATGATTTTAAATGATAGTTATCGAGTTAATTGTGGGGTGTTCGGTTTATTGTGGTACACGTATTTGTGTTCATAACGCGATTATACCTCACATGAAGTTCAGTATCAACATATATCTCTTAAAAAAATGTTTTTGAATTTGGTTTTTAGTGAAAATCACTACACATTCACGATATGGTTACTACAACAATAAGCTAAAATATTATAATATAATACTCGTTATATACTATATTTTTTTTAGAAATTTATAAATATACTACTTATAGTTTTTTCAAATAACTTACCATAAATGTATTTAAAACATTTTAAACAAATAATTTTTTAGTAAATTAAAAGAAACTAATTCCTAAAAGAGGTAGCTTTAACCCTAGGAGAGTTTTCACCCTCACACAGTTAATAAAAACGGATTTGTATGTAACATTGTAGAAAGAAAGAAAATTTTATATATATATGATTTTTAGTGATAGCTACCAAGTTAATTGTGGGATGTTTGGTTTATTGTGATGCACATATTTGTGCTCATGTCGCGATTATACCTCACATGAAGTTAAGTATCAACATTTATCTCTTAAAAAAGGTTTTAATTTTTGTTTTATTTGGTTTTTAGTGAATATTACTACACATTCACGATATGATTACTACAATAATAAAATAAAAATTTCTTATATAATACTCGTTTTATACTAATTTTTCTTAGAAATTTATAGATATATCACTTATATTTTTACCAAATAACTTACCATAAATGTATTTAAGACATTTTGAACAAATAGTTTTTAGCAAATAAAAGAAACTAAACCCTAAGAGAGGAAAATTTAACCCTAGGGGAACCTTAATCCTTATAGAATGAATAAAAACTGGTTCGTATATAACGTTGCAAAAAAAACCGAGTTAATTGTCGGGTGTTCGGATTATTGTGATGCATGTATTTGTGTTCATGCCGTGAATATACTTCTCATAAAGTTTTGTATCAACATATATCTCTTGTTCTTGTGTAATTATTGCTTTGATTTTAACAACCTTTTCACCAAAATTCATGAACCCTCAGCCCGAGACAAATTCAAAAATTCCAATTATTCATAAATTGGAGGTACATTTCGAACATTAAATTATTGGAGAATTATAACATATCTACATAAACAATTTTAAAGATAAAAGCCAACAAAAATCAACATTAAAATTGGACAAAAAAATGTGTAAAATTGCGTTCTGGTTGATAAGCACCATAAAATAAAAAGAATGTTCATACATTTTTCAAAAAAACATTATGATCGAAATATAAAAAACAAATTATGAGATGCTAAACTACATCGTGAATTAAGGAACACGGGCCTCTCCTCTCATGGCTCGTTTCCAGGACGGGACGTCTCGATCACCTGCACGATAAACGTCAACACAAACATCTAACAACACGAAAACACAACAAACAACCAGTAGACAATCATCAAACCATTCCAATTCACAATCAAACGCATCATGAATACTCTAATTACACAGATAAACCATGGTCACGCCCTCACC